GGACAGCTTGAGGCTCTGTCGCAAAAAAAAAAAAAAAAAGAGAAAGCTATAAGTTTCATAATAGGACTGTGTACGTTGGATTTCATTTTTTATTTTTAACTTATTTCCTGTTCTATTTACTTATTTCTTTTGAGACAGAGCTTTACTTGTCACCCAGTAGAGTGCTATGGCGTCATAGCTCACAGCAACTGCAAACCCTTGGGCTCAAGTGATCCTCTTGCCTTGCCTCAGCCTCTGGAGCAGCAGAGACTACAGGTGCCCACAGTGCCCAGCTATTTTTAGAGATGGAGGTCTTGCCCTTACTCAGGCTGATCTCAAACTCCTAAGCTCAAGGGATCCACCCATCTCAGCCTCCTAGAGTGCTAGATTACAGGTGTGAGCCACCACGCCTGGCCTGTATATTCTTTTTTTTTTTTTTTTTTTGTGACAGTCTTTGTCACACTTGGTAGAGTGCCATGGTGTCACAGTTCACAGCAACCTCCAGTTCTTGGACTTGGGTGATTCTCTTGCCTTAGCCTCTTGAGTAGCTGGGACTATAGGTGCCTGCCACAACACCCGGCTATTTTTTTGTTGCAGTTTGGCCGGGGTCGGATTTGAACCCACCACCCTCAGTATATGGGGCTGGCACCCTACCCACTGAGCCGCAGGTTCTAGCCTGTATGTTCATTTTTTAATCTGCAACTGGCATAATGCCTGGTACATCATAGGAACTTGATATATAGGGTCAGACAATGAAGTTGATAAACACATCCTAGAAGAAGCCCCCCGTACCTCATTACTGACTATCACTTCCGTCGCCAGATGTCCAAGGGGAGCACTTTGGAGGTGACCATGATGATACTCAGCAGTGATGTATGTAGCACTTTTTCCAGGATAGTTTGCAAGCTTCATTGTTAGACCTTGTAAGACAACAGCTCTGGCAGCCATTCCAGAAAGAGTTCCAAAATTGCTCTGAAGGGTAGGCGAGGTGCTGGCTTTGGTGCAGAGCTCCCCAAGGAGAGCACTCTGGAAGTGCAGTACAGCACTTTTTCTAGGACGAATTTGTAACCCTGATCCAATTAAGTTTGGAATTTAATTCAATCTTATATGTTTTTGAATATCTAATGTAAGATGAAACCAAATGAAAATGTTGTTTAGATGTAGTGTGGTTCTAAATCAGGAATTATGATTTTGGAGGGGGGGTGGGTAGAGACAGAGTCCCTTGGTAGAGGGCTGTGGCATCACACAGCTCACAGCAACCTCCAAGTCCTGGGCTTAGGTGATTCTCTTGCCTCATCCCCCCAAGTGGCTGGGTCTACAGGCACCTGCCACAATGCCCGGCTATTGTTTTGTTGCAGTTTGTCCAGGGCTGGGTTTGAACCTGCTACCCTCAGTATATGGGGCTGGCGCCCTACACGTTGAGCCACAGGTGCTGCCTAATTATGATTGTTTTTTAAAGTGATAGCATGTGGTAAGTTCTGTGGAAGTCATGGACAGAGCGCTTTGGCAGCAGAGAGGAGGGTAAATTATTCTGCCTGTGGTGGTCACAGGATACTTACATGTTGATATAGCACAGACAGCCTTTCCCTATACTACATTAGAGCACGTGTTTTGAAGATAAGTTTTCTTTCCTCTGAAAGACAAACTGTTCTCCAACAGTAGTGATTTCCCCTTTATCCTCATTTTTGTCATTTTTGATTTATTATATCATAAGGGGATTAATGATTCAAAACCTAAAAGTTCTAGAGAAGAATGCTTTCCTTAAATAGAACCAATGTTTTCTTTTCTATAGTTATTTCTATAATGAGAGGAACGTAGGCTTTGCAGTCAGACATAGATGGGTTTGAATCTCGCAACTTACTAACTGCGCTTTCTGTGAGGAGCAAACTGCCCGTAACATGCCTTCGTGTCTGTGTCCACCAGGGCAGGGACAGAGAGTGGTGCTGTGAGCCGCAGCAGTCCCTGTGCACACTGAGAATTCCACTGGTGTAGTCCCCTTTGTATTCAAAGGACAGAGTTGTGGAATGGCCAGGGCTGTGGTCCTTTCTGTCCCTCCAGGGCTGCAGTGTGCAGTCCTGCTCTCCCTGCTCAGCACATGCTTGGTGCCTGGGAGGGCAGGGCCTTGGA